CTCTCTCTCTCTCTCTCTCTCTCTCTCGTTGATTATACAAAATGATATTACAAGTTTTCTAATGTGTATGGATGTAACTATTCCAGCGAGCAGCTGGTGCGATCAGCATTCCAGTGCGCGCAGCTGGTGGCGGGCGACCTGCTGGGGTGCGCGGGGCCGCGCTGCCTGCGCCGCGTGCTGGCCGCTGCCGCTGCCTTCGCCAGGCAGACTAAGGAGCTCAACATTAGTCTCACCGCTGTCGGACTTATGGTATACATCTTACTAATATTATAAAGTAAAAACTAAAATAAAATACTGTTTATTGCCCAAAAACAAAAAATAATGAAATTCTATTATTTTTTTGTGAAAAACATGTTTTTGTATGCATTTAAATATCTCAAAAACTACTGGGCCTTTTTCAAAAATAATTTCATCATTTGGAAGGTACGTTGTCAGTGAACAACATAGCTTTTTTTTAATATTTTAATACCACACAGCCGAAGTCGCGGGCAACAATTAGTGGTTATTTATTCATATTATTTTTCAGTGGAACATATCTGACTACCTGTACCACAACCGCGACAAGCTGTCAGCGGCGCTGGCCAGCGATCCAGTGTGCCCCGAGCTGCCGCACCACGCGGACCTGCCGCCGCTCGACAAGCTCTGGATGTGTTTATATATACGACTCAGTTAGTAAACGTATAATAACACATAACTCATTTCACGCTCACAATACAATTATAGTCAAATAAGATTTCTAGCTCTGTGAAAAAGGCTATCCGTTACCAGTGACAATGTTAGTGAATTGTTATAATTTAGACTTATGGCCTGTACATTAGGCCAGTGCAATTGGACAGTTGCGACGGCAAACGACATCGACATAGAAAACAGCATAAAGAATATACCGCTACAGAACGAAAATCTTTAAGATATTTGTCCAAAACATGTCTCAATACATTTATTGAATAATATTTCTTATCTCACGGTGTATTGCATGGCATTTGTATTAATTTCCGTGCAGGCGAGCTGTGCACGGAGGCGCGCGCGCCGGTCCGCCGCGCGGCCAGCCAGACGCTGTTCAGCTGCATCGGCGCGCACGGCACGCTGCTCAGCAAGCCCGCCTGGCGCGCGCTGCTCAACGTGCTCTTCCCCATGCTGGACCAGGTCACACGTCCATTGTAACACATATATAATCAATTTTATAGTAAAGAATTGCAAGCTAGTAGCCACTTTAATCTATACATATAATAAAATTGGACTGTTTTTGTAATGTCAATGGAAAAATTCTAGATTTCGAGAAGATGATGTATTTGCGTTGCTCATAACGAAAATCGCATTTAAATTTTTTTTTTTGTCTGTCTGTCCGCGTTTGTTCCGAATAATCTTCGTAACGGCTGGACTAATTTTAATTGGACGTTTACTGTAGGGTAGCTGACATAGAGCATATTATAAGCTACTTTTTTTTTCTTGCATCCGAATATTGCATTATTTCATTAAAATGTTTTTTTCATTCGTATAGAATATTTAGCAACTAAATTAATTTGTTCGTGTATTACAGGTTCAGAAGCAGTCCAACATCGCGAGCTCGGAGAAGGTGGACACGGGGGAACACATCCTGATACATCATACAAGGAACACTGCGCAGAAGCAGTGGGCGGAGACGCAGGTGAGAGGACATCAACAATATAATTGTACTTACTGCCGACCATTTTATTGTACATTTAGTATGAAAAATGTATTCCTACGGCTTCCTGTGCAAACAAATGACGGGGCATATCATGTCAAAATGTTTCACAGAAACAATTGTTCTTTGACCGTAATTTAACTCTCTGTTTGTAAACCATATTGCTATATTTGTGGGTCGCAAATTTAATTCCTCAACTGTATTTAATATATACAATGTTCCAGGTGTTAACACTTTCGGGTGTGTCCCGAGTGTTCCACTCGCGCTTCCAGTTGCTGACTGGAGTGGGCGATTTCCAGCGCTCCTGGGCTGCGCTACTAGATTACATCACTGACTTCGCATTACGGAGGAGTCACGAGGTCAGAGTTGACTAAACTATTGATTACTAAAGTTTAGGAGGATCTCCTAGTGTTTGTGGAAGATGTAGTGGGGAATGGGAAATAATAGGGTTGACTAGTTGAAAAAATGGAACAAGTTTACTACTGCTTTATACTATGTGTTAAGTTTTTGTTATATGCTGTTGGTTTTTCTATACTAACATAATAAAGGTGAAAGATTTGTATTTTTGTATGATTGAAATAACTTGAAAACTACTGGACCGATTAAAAAAAAATCTTTATCGTTATAAAGATTTTTTATTTGTTAGTAACATAGGCTATGTTTTTAATGCCACGCGGACGAATTCACGGGCGATAGCTAGTTAATCATCTCCCCTGCCTTATCCTACTCCCGTAGGGTCGGCGCACCGGGTTTTCGATAGCTAGTTAATAAATAAATAAAATAAATATTTCACCAGAAAAGTGGAAAGAAGGGTTATGAGATTAACTAACTATAAATCTGTTTAGATGATTTTTATTAGGTTTTCTGACGATATTGTTGTATTCAAATGATTTAGGAAATTATTGTTTACAATTTTGAATGTGTCCATCAAGTAATATCTTCTATTGCAGGTGTCGCTGGCGGCGCTGAAGTCGTTCCAGGAGGTGGTGTCTGCGGCGGGGCGCGCGGAGAGCGGCGCGGGCGCGGCCGTGTGGCCCGCCGCCTGGGCCGCTTGGAGCGACATCGCCGCATCCATCGGAGACCAGCAACCAGGTACACTGCCCTACTGATAGGAGGGTAATATGCATGTGCGATATATATATATATATATATATATATATATATATATCTCTCTCTCTCTCTCTCTCTCTCTCTCTCTCTCTCTATCTATCTATCTCTCTCCAGATCGTTGCCTCACTCCTGAGGGTCCCGACCACTCTTCTTGACAATCTCTCGAAGCATGTTTCTCCAATAATAAATAAGATAAAGCTGTCCCCAGCTAGATTTGATATAATTGAAAACAACGCCATCTAGTTTAGAATTGTTTTAGATTCTATATTATTTGGGTGTAGTATTATTTTTTTATAATTCGAGTAAAGTAAATGGAAAACTGATCAAAAAACTCTTATTTCAGTGCTAGAGGAAGGCAAGCCGGCAGAGGCATATGCGCCCTCGCAGAACTTCCTCACCACGCTTGTGCAGATCTTCCCTCTCATATTCCAGCACATACGATCCACGTAAGTTATGTGTTATTTAGAAATTTAATTCTGGAATTCTCTTATCTTTAATTGTATCTTGTAGCGTCGCTTTTTACTTAATACTAAACTACAGGGTACTCTTCTTCAGAATTCAAACCATTTTAACATTGTATTTTTTAAAAAATGCTATTCAATATTAACAATATTATAAATGCAAAAGTTTAGATGAATGGATTATTAGAGCTTGTAGTAGTAAAGGTTTTATGTTATTTTATGATGTATATTTATTTGTCTCTGTATACCAGGTTCACAGCAAATGACGTGCAGCGTCTAGGCGCGTGCTTATCCCGCGTGTGCGCCGCGGAGCCCGCCAGCGCGCTCGCCGCCGGCGCCGCGCTCACGCCCGCCGCGCCCGTCACGCTGCACGCGTTACATTGCCTGGAAGCGCTGCATAAGGTACACTACTGGTTTAACATAACACACAATGTATGACATTCAATTATATTGTGACGTCATCTCTTAGCAAATATTAGTACTAGCTTTTTTGTTCCTGTTTTAAATACCTATATATTTGTACTAATATTACAAATGCGAAAATTTAAATCGATGGATGGTTTCAGAGTTTGTAGCTAAACGGCTGAACGGTTTCCGATGAAATGTGGAATAGATGTGAAATATAGTCTGGAAGAATACAACTATTTGCATTTTTTTTAATTCCATTCGGACGGAGTCGCGAGCAAAATTTTAGAGCGTTTTATTTTTGTGCCCGGATTCATTTAACAGTTTTAAACTTAAATGAATCAATATATCTATCTAATTATTCGAAATTTTAATATTAGTAAAGTTAGTAAAATTAGTAACCAAGTCAATAACTAAAACTTGACTGAAAAACAAATCTTCTAGTGATTCTTGAGAATATCTTGGTAATATGAATAAATACAGGAGGCGTTATCCCGTCATGAGTTACTGCCGGCGCTGTTCGCCGCTCTAACCGGTCTTGCTGGCGCGTGCGGTGCGCGGCCGGAGCGCGGGGAGCGAGCGGGCGCGCGCTGCCTGGCCGCCGCCGCCGCGCTGTACCGCGCCGCGCCGCAACACAGCAAGCAACAGCTGCCGCTACTGCTGCAGGTACTATCAACGAAAATTACCCTGTTCCATCTTAAAAACTACAGTTGGTGACTGTACTTCAAACTCCAGTAGAACGTCAATAACTCAAACCTCGGTAACTTAAAAACCTCTCTAACTTCAAAAAATATGATGTTTCCTTCCCATCAGAGCCCAAAACCTCTACTACTAATTTTCCCTAACTACTAATCACCAACTTTATATATATTTTTTTGACCCCTCTAAAAATTTGAGCCTTGTAGGGTTAAGACCTCTATAACTTGAAATATTTTGTGTATCCCTTGGACTTTTACTTATCGAGGTTCTACTGTATTATTGTAAATACGAAAGTTTACATAAATGGATGTATGGATGGATGTTTATCACTATTGTTGTATGTTTATCACTTGATCTTGAGCCGGCAAGATATTTTAAACAGCTTGCAACTATCTTCTTTTCTTTGTATAAAGAATTTTATATCTATACTAATATTATGAAGAGGAAATATTTGTATTTTTGTATGTATTGAAATAACTCAAAAACTACTGGGCGGATTTTAAAAATTCTTTCACCATCAGAAAGGTAATTTATCTGTGAGTAACGTAGGCTATATTTTATTATTACTAATGTTTACGAACTATTAATATTTTATAGTTTAGCTAAATCAAAGTTTTTGGTCCTCATATTCGATATGTTATATCGGTGTTAAGCTGATAATGTACATAAGAAAAAAACTTATCAAAATGTTATAGTTTTATTATAATTTGTTGTTATTGTTAGGCGTTGCACTCAGCGGTGCAGAAAGGCGGGTCGGATAAGAAGCGACGCAACAGCGACCCGCAAGAGGACGCCACGCAGATTGCTTCCCTATTATTACAAGTTAGTATGGTTTTCTATATATATATACTTCTATACTATTATAATAAAGCGTAAGTACACACTTTGTTGCCTAAGATGTCCGCAATTACAGCATATTTGTGAATAATTATTTTCTTAATACAAATCCCTACACTTACGTCACGCTTTAGACTATATTTTCACGCCATTCAAATTAAGCGGTAAATATTTTGAATAAAATCCTAATGTGGGAAAGAAACCATAAGTTGTTGCCAACATCAAGTAAGCGAGGTTGTCATCATGTCATGTCATTTTGACATTTGTAATTGATAGTTTGACAAATGTAAACAATAAAATAACGTTTATAAAATTACATGCGGGTGAAGCCGCACGGGAACAGCTAGTAAATTCCTTTCAGTTTTACTGGTTTATTTTCAAAGATATTGATATATACACTTTTTCCCAGGTGTTAGCAACAGGTCTTCCATTAGCGCGAGAGAAGCCAGACGATTATGAAGAGTTTTGGGAGATCTTGCCGACTGTTCTAGAAACTTTCATGTTTGAACCACCGTAAGTAATAAATATATATTGTGCGTTATGTATCTGGTTTTAAAGTTGAAAATTGATTGATGAAATTTTAATGCTCGTTGAAAAATTTTAAAAAAGATATAAAAGTGTTTCAAAGTCAACTTTTCATTATAAAATAGTACATTGAAAGGCATTCTGTTTGGAACGAAGAATTCTTTACCGTTAGCCTCCCCCTGCTTGTTTATAGCTGCTAAAGCCCTCGTCCCAAGTTGTTAAGTTATTTTAATTGTATACAATAGTAGCTTTTTTTCTGACTCCGTGTGCGTGGAATTAAAAAAAAACTAAGTAGCCTATGTGTTCTTTCAGCCTATGCCAAATTTTAGGCTGCAAACTCTAACAAACATCCATGTTTACGTCATTTATAATGTAAAAGGCCTGTCCCACTAAACTGTCAGATAACAGTTCCACGTTTAAAATATGTGATAAAAATGTCGAATTTTCGGACAGTGAGATCATTTTGATTTTGATTTGAAGTTATCTGAGCCTCTATAAGTGGTACAGGCCCTTAGTATGGTGGTATATTGCAGTGTGGGCGGCGGCAGACAGGCGCGCGAGCTGGTGGGCGTGGTGCGCGAGGAGGTGCTGCGCGGCGCGCCCCGCACGCCCCCGCGACACGCCCACCGCGTGCTGGCGCTGCTGCGCGCCGCCGCGCTGCACGCGCAGCCCGGCCCCGCCAGTATGCACAAACTAGTTTATATAATACAACCGTCTTATAGTTCAGTTCAATTAATAAGAGATTGTTTTTTTTTTAAAAAAGGTACAAAGTATCGATTTGATAGCTCGTGTTTAAATTATTTTGCAATTCTTAGATCATTTTACTTTTTGTTTATTTTTATTTAGAGCTCAGGAAATTCGCGGTATACATCATTAAAATTGTCCCTGTTCATTGTAATAAGACAAATTCCGCCTCTTCCTACAAATAATTATATAACAGTGAATGAAATAAAGAACAATAAAAAAAACGATACATATATAACGAACGTCCTTTTTTCGTACAGATGCATTTATGAGATACGTTGTATTGATTTTTGTTCGGCATTTCGTTTAAACATGTTCGAACAATTGTAGCTTTTAAGGTGGAAAATCTCCAGTTTATTTTGTTTTCATACAGAAAACGAGCAAGAACTTCGTGAACGTGAGGAGTTCGCGCGCACCTGCTTCGAGACTCTACTGCAGTTCTCTATGATGGAGGACATCGACTCGCTCACTGGAGGAGACGGTCAGTATTTCTAAATACATATTAAAACTTCGTCCCTAAGCTTCAAAGAAAAGATAAGAAGTGGAGGGAGGTGTAAGGGATATATGGGAAAGGAAAATATCCTTGTTTCTGAACTTCTTTAAGGTAGATAATACATTTTTAATCTAATATCAGCAAAAATGTCTATGGGTAGTCATTTAACGATTTTATCAAAATTCTAACCTATTAAACTTTATTTTATATCTTTCGACGTCAGCAACATGGAAACTAAATACTATATAATTGTGTTGCAGGTGAAGCGGACCCCCTGGCTATCATGCCTCTCCTGGACAGGTTCCAGGAGGTGGTCTCCATGTATACTAGTGATGAAGAAAACACGGAACCTCTGCCAAGGTAAACATTACTTATATTTTGTATAAAAACAAATCAACAAGTTTAGATGAATGAATGTTTGTTACCGTTTGTAGCCTAAACGGCTGAACGGATCTCTATGAAATTTGACACAGGTTTAGAGTCAGGTATAGTCTGGAAGAACACATAGGCTACTTTTTATCCCGGTAATAGTTACGGTTTTCCGTGGGATTCATTAATTTAGTTTTTTAATGTTTACTCGATCATTCATCATACTTCATCGAAAGGCACAAATATAAAACAAAGTCTGGAGTACACATGAGATAAGCTTCATCCCAGAGAAATGTCCGGTTCCCGAGGGATACGTAACTTTTTGTAATTTGTATGTTTTCTAATACCACGCAGACGAAGTCGCGGGCAACATCTCGTGATAAAAAAGTAATATTTTCCAAGCATCGAGAATGCTTTAAATTGAATTTATTTTAGTAAATAACGCTTTGTGACTCGCTGGTGTCGTTAATTAAAGATTTTTTTTGGCTACATATCAGAAAATCATCCCTAATAGGGTAGTTAGGTAATACAAATAATAACTGTGAGTGCGTTTGCTAATATGTTTATAATGTTTATGATTTGTGTTTCAGACATCAGTTATCAGAGATATCGTTCGTGCTGAAGGCGATAGCGAGCCTGACGGAGGCGATGAAGCGCGCGCCGCCGGGGAAAGTGGACGCCACCGCATGGGATAAGTTGATAGGTCACATTTATTGTTACTATTATAATGTATACCAACCCTACTAACCTACAACCCATACTAATATTTTTAGGGGCGGAGCCAGCAGCGCCCCGCCCCCGCCATCTACGTTTACGTCATTCGGTCTTAAAAGACCGAAAGTATTTTCAAACCAATACGACTTAGGGTCCGTCAAGAAGCGAGCCTACAATTTCCTCAAAGGTTGCGTTGCCGCATCTGTAGTTCTTCTGGTGTTGCGGATGTCCATGGGCGTCGTTGACCACCTTTGTGTTCCCGCTGCTCGTTTGACTTCTTCTCTTATATAATAAAAATGTAAGGTCGGACTGTCAAGCCAAAATTATATAAAACAAAATCGAAGTATTTCTCCATTAAATTTTTATTGGTATCAAAAGTGTAGTAGGTAAGCGGCCGACTGTGACTTCGTCAGCGTGGAGATGAATTAATCCCTTTCCCTTTCCACCCTTTTCTTAAGAAGAAAGGATGGAAAGGATAAGTGGATTTGACGGTGAAGGAGATGCATAGGAAGGGTAAATGTGGTCTTTATGTGCGTCTCTACCTCCGTCAATTAAGTGTAGGCAACGCATCTGCAATTGCCGATGTTTATGGGCAGGGGTTGCTTTCCATTTCGGTGAATTCAGATGGCCGCTTGCTCGTTTGCCACCTTATAATATAAAAAAAACAAACATTTATCTAAACTTTGACATTTGTAATATTAAAAGTTGTTTCCGTCGTGTTGCAGGTGTGTACCCTGCGCTGGCGCGGCTGGCGGCGAGCGGGCGCGCGGGCGGCGCGGGCGGCGCGGGGCCGGCGCTGCGCGAGGCGCTGCTGCAGTTCGCGGCGCTGCTGGCCGCGCCGCGCCCCGCCCCCTAGCGCCGTCTGCTCTACTCCATACGCATATAGAGCACGCACCTCTAGCGGCCTCGCAGCGCCAACGTTCGTGTAAATATCCACCTCTTACTCAAGCTAATACAAAATCATACTCATCCTTTGTCGATTAAGAGTAGGCAACGCGTCTGCAATTGCGGATGTCTATGGACAGCGGTCGCTTCGCCATTTTGGCGGATTTAGGTGGTCGCTTGCTCGTTTGCCACCTTATATGATAAAAAAAACTCTTGAATCTATAGTAATATTATAAAGCGTAAATGCACACTATTTTGTGGCCTAAGATGTCAGCAATCACAGCATATTTTTGAATATTTCTTTCTTTAATAAAAAGCCTTATACTTACGTCACGCTTTATGCTATATATTTTCACGCTATTAAACTTAGGAGGCAAATATTTTGGATAAAAACCCTAATGTGGGTAGGAGACCATAAGTTGCTGCCAACATTAAGAAAGTAAGATTGCCAAGGTTTGTTATGTCATGTCATTTTGACATTTGCAATTGATAATTTGACAAATGTAAACAATAAAATAAAATTTTCATAATTTCATGCGGATGAAGCCGCACGGGAACAGCTAGTAATGAATAAAATTACAAATATTATGTTGTACGTGTACGTGTATTTGTATCGATTCTATTATTTCAAGCTGTAATATTCCATCATTCATAATCTTACTAATATTATAAATGCGAAAGTTTAGATGGATGGATATATGTTTGTTAGAGTTTTTAGCCTAAACGGCTGAACATATTTTGATGAAATTTAGCATAAACTTAGAGGATAGTCTGGAAGAACACAGAGACTACTCAGTTTTATTTTGTTTAATTCCACGCGGACAGAGTCGCGGGCGAAAGCTAATTTATATATAAAATACAGTGATGATAATTTCTTTATTTTTTTACAGGTTTTGTAATAAAAAAGGTGCAAGCGGCCGCTGGGAGCGACTAATATGAGTACCACCAAATATACGTAGATTAGTTATAGAATATACATGTACAGTCGGCAAATAAGTTTCACATTGAATGCTAAAGAAATGTAATAATTGTTAGTTAGATATTTAAACAATATTGATGCCGTGACTTTTCTCGGGTAGATATTAGTTTTAAATGCTTTTGTAATAAAGCTGAAGAATAATGTAGCATTTTAATGTTGAATTTTAGTTTATTTGTATTTTTTTGCCGACGCTACATATTGTAAAAGTAGAGTAAATAGTAAATAAGGAGATATTTTCTTTAGTTATATGTTGTATATCTATCGACAAAATGTCATGTATAAATATTAAAATGATTTTTTTGTATATATTGAAGAAACGGTCTAGTATTGCTATTTTATACAAGACTAAATTATTCCTTACTTATGTTATATTGTAATATAGTATTGTAGATTTTATTGTCTCTTTCCTTCTTTTTGTCAAAATAGAGACAAATAAGTGTCAATATAAGTGCATTGCTTAATTAGACCGACTAGTTATTTATAATTTGATAAAAAGCTTAAAATAAACAACATAACAGGTATGAAGACCTGGTGACACTGACAGTTACTAGCGAGTGAGTATTGACTGTGACTAGATTCCTTATCGGTCAATATATGGTGACAAAAATTTTAAAATAGCCCGACTTTCGAACATCCTGTAGCTGTGCTAAAAAATTTAAATTATAATGTTGAAAATTGTGAAATATTTCTAGAAAGTAAACGTCAATTTGAAGTGACATTTAGGGTTGCAATATTAAAATTTAAAAAGACATTTCATGTATAAATTATAATGCTTTTTTAATAGTTAAACATCTTATTGCTAGAACAGATTGCAATGCGAGATAGATTTAGCAATAAAATTAAAGAAAATATTATAAATAAAGCTTAGTAATAATCGATATTTAGGATTTTTAGCTTTGACACTTTAACTATGTGTCATTTCTTATTTTAATAGGCTTACAATTATGAGTAGATTTTTTACAAATATGAATATGAAGTAGGGATGTCGAAATAGTAAAAATTATGCTTAAATGCTAAAATGGTAAAAAATAAAATAAATGAAAAAACATAAATTACTATAGTGTGTTATTCACTATGTATTTGTAATGTTATGTATGGAAAATATTAGATAATAAAATTAATTCAATTAATTAGTGTTATAACAAATACATAATAGGGTACATAAGACAGTTTTGTTTTAGAATATTTATAGTATACAGTATTAGAAAGGATCTATATCAGCATATTGACAATTCAAATTTTACTAACTATCCACAATTTTTATAAAAAATCTAGCAATATAAATAGCCTATGTCACTCAGTAATAATTTTGCTTTCTAATGGTAAAAGAATATTTGAAATCGGTCCAGTAGTTTTCGAGTTTACCCGTTACTTCTTACTAATATAAATGCGAAAGTTTAGATGGATGGATGTTTGTTAGAGTTTATAGCCTAAACGGCTGAAGGGATCTCAATGAAATTTGGTATACACGTAAAGGATAGTCTGGAGGAACACATAGGCTATTAACTATTGTTTTTTTGAACTCCACGCGGACGGAGTCGCCGGCGAGTTAGTACACATATATTTCTTTCCTCTTTAAAATGTTAGTATGGAATAGTTATCGCTCATGGTTCCGTCTGTGAATTAAGAGTATAAAATTACTATTCTAACTAATTAGGCTACTGCCTAAGCGCTATTCCAGGCTAAATCCCCGGTTTCAGATTTTAACCAGATGCATCTATACATCCAAACACACATTTATATTAGTAAGTAAAGGTAGTGTTTCAGAATGTCTAAAAACTGTGCCATATAACGGAACGATATTTTTCTTTGCATTACAGAAAAATCTTCAATTTCATATATTCAAATACATTGATAATTAAACATAAATGATGATTTTTTTTTAAGTATAATATTTGAAATTTATAAGGTGATATAGATCTAAACTGATTTGTTAAAATAGTTACCTTGTATTTACAGTAAATAAGCTAATTTCGTGTCGTTTGAAACAAGTACATAATGTAAGATTTAACAAAGAATTTCAAAGCAAATTGATTTTTTATAATATTCAAAATCCTTACTGTTAGGAATAAAATTAGTACCGTGCTATAGAATTGGCGCAACTCTAGATTATCGGCATAAACGTCACGTCCCTAGCTGACAGCTGGCAATGTCACTAGAAGTATGGATAGATTGGCGCGTAACTTGAGTCTTGACGAGAAGTATTGCTCTGAGTTAAAAGCGACAGTATCAATTAAATAAGTTGTCTAATATTACTTGTACGATTCATATTTTTGTTGAAAATAAATTTTATTTGTATTTTTGTTTAAGTTTTTGCAATAACAAAGATCTTCCATTTTTGTTTGATAATTTATTAATTGTAAATTTGAACAATACATAGTAAATACCTAGCTAATATTAATATATTAAGAAGCTCTTGGGGCAATATAAGACTAAAATCTGTTAAATAAAGTATAAGTAAATAAACTTCTCTTTTTATTTTCATTATATCCTTGAAATCTCCAATACTCTTAGGAAATATTTCCACTAGCGACTGTCAAACTGGCTGTTTACAGTTTATTCTCATGTTTTGTTTCCACTGATGCGTTTCTGCTTAGAGGAAACAGTCAAATAAGCGAAAACATTTTCTCTTAGCCCTTCAATAAAATAGGGTTATTCCAATGTTCCTTGCAAATTCCTTTTCTAGTCTTTAAATAGTTGATCATTCATGTATTGTTATATGACTAGCTGTTGGTCTTCGCCGTCGTGAAATAAAAAAATATATAGCCTATATTACTCATAGATAAATTACCTTTCTAAAGTGAAAGAGGATTTTTTGAAATCGGCCCAGTAATTTTTGAATTATATCCATACATACAAAAATACAAATCTTTCCTCTTTATAGCAGTATAGATATAAATTTTGCAGTTAGTATGAATAAGGAAAATATATTTAAAGTTTGTTTTGAATTCAATATTTGAAATCTAAGGTTATTCTCTTGAACTCATTGCGGTGAGTTACTCAGATATTTGTTATTTATTACAATACTTTTATATTGTAAACAATTAATATACATTTGAACTATAAATATGAGTTTTATAACTGCTTTACATATGAATAACCCCACGTATTTTTCTTAGTTTATGAGTCATTGGCCAGATCGAGAATTATTTCATCTCAACATATTAACTCGAAATACAATTTAAATCCATTAAACATGTGCGTCATTAATATAGTTTTAATTACAATATATTTGTACATACTTTTTAATATTCAAGTATTTTTTTAAATAATGCACTTCCTATAGATTATCTAATCAAGATAAGATAAAAATTGTAGATTTGGTTTCTATGTACCTCTGCGGTGTGACAGCACAGATATCCTCTGACGTTGTTCATATTAAATGCTAGATGGCGTTACTTATCGCAAAACTAAGCTGATAAATTAAAAAATTGTTTTGGTTTCTCTATGATGCATTTGTTTTTAAAGAAAACAAAACTTTTCAATAATAATATAGTTTAAAACTTTAAAGATACCTGCCTTGTTTTGTTTTAAACATCTGTAAGAGGAAAACAATGAAGCATTAACAGTATTATTTAAATATGTTTGAATTTGTTATAGCAATTTGTCATAGATATAACAGCTGTTTATATATCGTATGAAATTGTAAGTCGAAGAATGCATGAAAATGCAGGTTATTTTAAGGACATCTCTCCCCAGCTGACTAATTCTAAAAACAGTCAAAAATGAAGGGATGGCGCTGTGAAGAATAGTATGCGGGTGTGGCATGGAGGGATGGCATTCATAGGTAGGGGAAATCTCCTCTTTGTGTGCGTCAGCTGATTAAAGCATCTGCAAATGCGGATGTATATGGCCACCGTGCTTCGTTATTTTGGAGAATTCCAGAGGATGCTGCTCGTTTGTGACCTGATACTTTAAAAAACTTTATAACTAGATAATGTTTCAACTATAGAAAGATGTAATCTAGTTTCTGCAGTTTACGTTGTAAATGTTCCAAAGACATAAAACACTTCCGCACTGGATCTCTGCATCTATTTATAGTGCAGTTAAGGTTAGTTAGGGGTCGTTGAACTTACGTTTATAAAATGGACGTCGCTACGTCTGTCCGCGGTTGTTCGTGTTTCAATAAACATCTTTATAACTTGTAAAAACGAACAACGTAAATTAGATCTAGATTTATTGATCTAGGGACAATAGCCTCGTATATAAAAGAAATAATCTCTTTCTATATAACTAAATATCATGATAAAACATCAACGTATATCGCCTAAGGAAAAGTCATGTAAACGTCCAAAAACTATCCAGGAAAATTATTATTTTTTACTTAGAAATAATTTTTTTATGACTGAATGGCCACTGTTTGCCTTGTAAATGCCCCTTATTTACAGATTCACCGGGTTTGAGGTAGCCGAGCGCAGATGGCGCTCAGCCTAAACCTCGTTTATGAGTAACTAAGCTCGAGGGCTCCTTCAGCAGCCTTTTCGTTACTTCGTTATTATTACCCGATTGGGATGCCACCGAGCTCTTAATTCGTAAAAATGGTATTAGGTCGTAAACTTATAGTTAGACATATGGTAAATATTTTTTTAACTTTACAAGTAACATGCAGCTCTATAAACAAATGAGTATTTATGTAGTTTAATTCCAAAAGTTACGTAATTGAACAAAAAAATAACTACAGGTTTAAATGAAAACTCGCATAACCAAATACGGTGCATGATGTCATGAGATGTTGACGGTCTTGAACATAATAAGTTGTCTATATTACGTCAGGTCGTAGGATGAATACGTGGGCACGACCTCAAGGCGACTTGGTCCTCATACTTGTAGCGGCCTTATACTAAATTGATAAATTACATACAAGTAAAACATGTTACTTCGATTGTGGTTTTTTTAAATATTAATAAAAAGCTTTCATATTTTTACATCGACTACTTATCGCCCGCGACTCTGGTCTATAATAAAAACTTAAATAGTAGCCTATGTGTTCTCCCAGACCATGTTCTACATATGTGCCAAATTTGAGTGAAATCCGTTGAGCCGTTCTGGTAATATGTAGTAACAAACATACATCCATCCAAGTCAGAAGTTAGATATTAAGAGTAAAGTTATGTTATTAGACACTAGCTTTCGCCCGCGAGTCCATCCTGTTGAAATAAAAAAAAAAAACAAGAGTAATCTTATGTGCTCTTCCAGACTATACTCTACATCTATGCCAAATTTAATCGAAATCAGTTGAATGTTTTAAGCCACAAACTAACAAACATCCATCCAGCCAAACTTTATGATACATATATTAGCAAGATGCACAATGTAGATCTGTATGGAGTTACTTTTACTAGAGTTCTGGTATATCACTAAAATTGACCTACAATATTTTAAATAATCCGATACGCAGACGAAAAAGCGTGAGAGTAATTTTTTACGATCCACCGCACACAATGGTCGCAAGTTCCGAGGCAGCTTTCCTTTCCAGAAGTGTGTCGAGCAACGCCACTTTGTACTGTTCGACGTTCAAGACAAGTGTAATTACTTTCTAGACCAGACATTTTAATCGAACTTTTGTGATTCTGTTACCACAAGACTAGGCAATAATACCTTATTGCCTAGTCTTTTAATAATGGCAGGTCTTAGCTTCAATAGAGGTGGGGTTTTTAATAGTTTTGTAACTTATTTTGGGAATAAAATCCATCACCTATGACAATCGGCGAGATACCCATAAGTATTTGTAACTAAATAGCATAGTCCTTAACAAATTGTGAACAGATACGGTTCTGGTAATTCCCAGGTAGGTAACCAATCAATACCAGACTACAAACAGCTGCGCGCGCCGTATTGTCCAACCGATCAATAGGCGGTTGTCATGCGACACTTTTAGGTTTTTTTTATAGCTTGGGTTGGGTACTGCCGAGTATATACCTGCCTTCAACACCCGATATATGAAGTAGACATCAGGCCAGACAGTTATTACGTGCTTTTGCCTAACGAGGAGACAATTACTTCTGCTTTTAATTTTTAAGATTGTGAAGCTTCGATGGGATAAAATTCAGCGACTTTTTCTATTATATTTTGTGATTGGTATAAACTATAAATATTCAGATGTTTGGCAAATGTATGCAATTTAAACTCGTTCCTTATATTTGATAATCATACTTAAGTTAATTCGAGAATGACTTTTTTGTGGGATTTAGTTTAAAAAGCTTTTCGTAGTTCATTAGAAGTCAGGGGTATGTAATAAATATTGGGTGATAAGAGAAAGAAATTTTCAACATATTTTTTTATTTCATTTCACTTTGGGAATGTATCACGCGAGTGATCCCGTTCGAGCAAATTAATATTCCTCTGCGCCTTCACCCTCGCCTTCCGCGGAGTCCATGCCGACCTCCTCGTAGTCCTTCTCGAGCGCGGCGAGGTCCTCGCGGGCCTCGGAGAACTCTCCCTCCTCCATACCCTCACCGACGTACCAGTGCACGAAGGCGCGCTTGGCGTACATCAGGTCGAACTTGTGGTCGAGCCGTGCCCACGCCTCCGCGATAGCGGTGGTGTTGGACAACATGCAGACGGCGCGCTGCACCTTGGCAAGGTCGCCGCCGGGCACCACGGTGGGTGGCTGGTAGTTGATGCCGACCTTGAAACCGGTGGGGCACCAGTCAACGAACTGGATGGTGCGCTTGGTCTTGATGGTAGCGATGGCCGCGTTCACGTCCTTGGGCACGACGTCACCACGGTACAACATGCAACACGCCATGTACTTGCCGTGGCGTGGGTCGCATTTCACCATCTGGTTGGCGGGCTCGAAGCAGGCATTGGTGATCTCAGCCACCGACAGCTGCTCGTGGTACGCCTTCTCGGCGGAGATGACTGGTGCGTAAGTTACCAGAGGGAAGTGGATACGCGGGTAGGGCACCAAGTTGGTTTGGAACTCTGTAAGATCGACGTTGAGGGCGCCGTCGAAGCGCAGGGAGGCGGTGATGGAGGACACGATTTGGCCGATGAGCCTGTTCAAGTTGGTGTATGTGGGGCGCTCGATGTCGAGGTTGCGGCGGCAGATGTCGTAGATGGCCTCGTTGTCGACCATGAAGGCACAGTCGGAGTGCTCCAGAGTGGTGTGGGTGGTCAGAATGGAGTTGTACGGTTCAACGACAGCGGTGGAGACCTGGGGAGCGGGGTAGATGGCAAATTCGAGCTTGGACTTCTTTCCGTAGTCTACAGAGAGACGTTCCATCAGGAGAGAAGTGAAACCGGATCCGGTGCCACCACCGAACGAGTGGAAGATGAGGAAGCCCTGGAGTCCGGTGCATTGGTCGGCGAGCTTGCGGATGCGGTCGAGGACCAGGTCGACGATTTCCTTGCCGATGGTGTAGTGACCGCGAGCATAGTTGTTGGCCGCGTCTTCCTTACCAGTGATAAGTTGTTCTGGGTGAAACAACTGTCTGTATGTACCAGTGCGAACCTCATCTGTGAACAGAGATCACGATTAAAAATCAATTTCATGTAAAAAAGAAAAACATTATTTCACGATAACGAGACACTACGATCTCGAGATTGTTTTCTAGTCAACGCACCAACTACTGTAGGCTCCAAGTCGACAAAGACAGCCCTGGGGACGTGTTTGCCGGCGCCGGTCTCGCTGAAGAAGGTGTTGAACGAGTCATCACCACCGCCGATGGTCTTGTCGGTCGGCATCTGACCGTCGGGCTGGATGCCATGCTCGAGACAGTACAGCTCCCAGCAGGCGTTACCGATCTGGACACCAGCCTGGCCAACGTGTACGGAGATGCACTCACGCTGTTGGGAGAAAAGAAAATCATATTAGTATTAAGGTCAGGTCAGTTTAAAAAAGTTGTAGCAGTGAAATCGGCGAAAGTACGAAATACCGGTATGTAATGGGCGATTCGATATCTCGAGCAACTAATTTATCGCATGACCCGGAAAACATTCAATAAAATTAGAATTACTAAAGTATTCGTCTTATCATTCAACTAATTTTAGTAATGATTACTAACAGACGGTGAAAAAACATCAATAAATCAAGGGCGTGGCATCCTTGATATTGATATCCAGCAATCGAAACTTCAGATGATTAACGATTTGACAAACAAAAGAAAACATTTCAAGAAATAGAAGTTGTTCATTCTTTATTTGAATAAAAGAACGCCACACCCGACCTCGTGGACATTTCATAGATCTCGCGCAGAGCGCCGACAAAATGGCGTCACCAACCGGCGAAATTGTCGCAAAACGCGATTTCACTGGTATTGTGGAGAAGTAATGATTAAAAATAGATTAATGTCACAAAAGAAAGGTTACTTACCATTTTGAAATGAGTTTTGTTGAACTTAATGTAGATTTAAATTAATAAATTAGTCAGTCGACGTTCCGCAGGACCGGTTAAGAGGTTTGCCGAACGTATAATATCGTGGAAATTCCGTTGGCCAAGTATTTATAGTGCCGGCGGCTCTGGAAGCGACGCTACTCGTTGCGAGCTCTGATTGGTGGATTCCACTGCCGCAGGGGCGTATCGACCAATAAGGTTAAAGCTGCATTATATCACCATTGCAGGAATATGTGGGCAACTGCTGATTCACGCGCCTTATAGTGACATACCGTATTTATGTCGATATCGATTTTTTTGCAACAGTATCACTAAACCATTAAAATTAAAAGAAGTGTCATCCATGTTCGAATTTAACAATAATGTTTGATTCTTTAGATACTGAGAGGTCCATTTACTAAAGTTCTACTTTTGAAGAAAACGAAATTATGACATCAAACCATGTACATAATACTATTAATCGTATAAAAAACAAAATAAAACAACTTCAACATTTTATTTTTACATTCCAATATATGCATTTTGTTGTATAAATCATGTTGTTTTTATGGTGAATGTAAAAACACTGTGGTGCAACCTGCACATATCGGCGAATAAATTTAAAGTTATGTGAAGTAAAGCCAACCAACCCACGCTGTGCTAACGTGCCTAAGGTCACACATAACTTATGGTGGACTATAAGTACCTTGGTGGGAAAACATGTTATGAGCTGATGTCATCATCACTGAAACTTTATAACTTCATAGTTGTAAAGTTTCAGTTAACTGAGGTAAATCATACATTTTTTTATAATTCTATCACTATTCTGTAAGAAACATGAGGCATGTTATGTATGGAAAAATTATTTATTTTCAAATGTTTAATTAATAAGTACATCGATAAACATCTCAGTGTTGAAGTACGGGGCAACACTAAAAATCGTTATTTTCGTTGGAAGAGAGCCCACTCACACATGCACAAGTTTTACGTCTGCTTCAGGTTTTTCAAATTACAAACAATGTGATTATTTCTTTCCATGTTACTTACAAAGAAATTAAGGCTAGAGCCTAAATAAATGCCCCAAGAAATCGACCTTTGCTAAAAATCGCTAGATAAGACACAAAAACAATATTTCTCATTACGCACACTACCGTCGTCGTTCACACATTTACCCACTTCCATAAATGGACATCTTGGAGTCTCGCCAAAGTTGCGGGAAAGGCGAACTAATTTAAAATAAAACTGTGTCTGCGTTGTCCTATCTCTAAATATATTTATATAATATATAAGGATAAGATCAATTTTATATTTCATTTTAGAGACAAGCTTTGAAAAAGGTGCTTGTTTAAGTGCGATTAAATAAAAACATAATCTCTACCAAAGATACTAACAAATGTGAAAAGGGCTCAAATAATGACCATTAAATCATACTTGCACTGAAGCAGTTTATAACATTGTAGTATATGAATGTTATGTATTAAATATTAATTGTAAAAAATCATTTTTTTGTCCATTGATTCTTAACATTTCAATCATTTTAACGCCATCTTTGGGTTGATTAAGACACTGCATGTTGATTCAATTTTTAATTTATCGCTGAGATTTGTATAAGCGCCATCTATAATCGGACTTGACACCAAAAATGCTTGTTAAAGGAAATGTCATTTGTCATTGTCAAACGTCAATGATATTGATAACCTAAAAGCATAAGTAAAAAGATTTGTAATTAATTTGGCCCTACTTATAAATATCTTTATATATTAGAGTGAAATGTAAAACTGTCTCGTCATAGTTACCTGTGTATTATACCTTTAAGGTTATAAATATTGTGGAACCACTGTTCATAGATAAAAGACAACAATTTAGGTTTGTACTACTTTTACTTAATATTTTATCCATATTTTGCTTACGTTAGGTTACATTTATCATTATTGCTATGTTTTATAGTCATAATAATGTGTAGTTTATGTGAAGATCCATCAGATTAAAGGTAAAATCTAGCATGGTATACTTTTAGTTGATTGTATGTTTTAAGACATATTTTCGTACTTTGTTATTAAAAAAAATTAATTCTCATGTTTGTAAGTCCACTTTAAAACATAATATCAACTAAATATCTTAATAAAAAATCTCTTCTCGAGGTTATAAATGCCAACATGCCAACTTATTCTCAAAACTGCTTACATCACTTGTTTTTACCATCAAAGTAAATTGTTACGTAAAATCCGTATGAATAAAGTTTAATTTCGAATGTTTGTAATTGATAAACCATTTCTGATATTCAAGAAATTTTCGATGATATGGTCATTAAGTTAATCTTTTTAAAATTGTTACCCAGAACTGAAAAAGGTTTTTTCACCAAGTTACCTAAGTAATGAAAACGTTCTAGAGAATACGTAGGCGAAAAAAGTAGCAGTATTACGCAAAATGAAATTCTTTAATCTCTGCCTACCGTTATAGGTTACAGGCGTGAGGAGATATGTTTGTTGTCTAGTCTAATTTATATGAAATGACTATGAACTATGTTTTAGTAAACTCGCGGCATCGTTGAGAAGGCTTCCATTAATTCTCGATATTTTGGATACTTTCTATGCGCAAAACTGAAATCACATAAAAGAACTACGTAAATTCCCGCGTAATTTCTCAGCAAATCAAAGTAAGACATTTTCTCGGCATCGAATTTAAAATTCTTATTAAAACTAATGGTAATTAAATAATTGACAGTCTGTGTTTGTGTAGTTATCACTCAAAGCTATGGAATTAAAAAAAAATCGACATTTACTCACTGATTTCGACAATCTGTATCAATATTACAATTACCTTCTTACAGAACAATCGAGCTGAAATTTTAAAAACACAAATACAATAACCTTTTTTTTTTAAACCCAATTTAAAAGGTCCATGTGTCATGCCAGTATTGGAACTAGCTCACCTCGTCTTTATAATTCAAGACACTGTTAATGTCTCGTAACCGATTATTTCACTAATGTTATACGTATTTTGTATCACGAATGTAAAGAAAGAACCCATCGTCTTACCGCTCTTTGAACGATAAGTAGTTTCCGTGAAAATGGAAATCCTTGCTTTCTTCTGTTTTGATTATCCACTCCTTTTCTCTCTTCTACCTCGATTGCTACCTTCTGTGGAATATAAGGAAACGAAATAAAAGCTTGTAAAATACCCATAATCCTTAATCTCTATAGGAATGTAAATAATTTTCTTACTTATCGAAATTTAAACCGTACATAATTAGAAAAATTAAATCTGTTTCATTCGTTTTCAAATGAAGTGAAAGGGACATAAATAGTAAAGATGACGTATGCGTTTCGTTTTCCCGCGCCGTACAACGCGAGCGCGCGAAGCATCGCTATATTTCATTCCGCGCGCGATCGCTGGCTGTAAACGCTTGCGCAGCAACGAATTTACGAAATTCGAATTTGTCTCCGCGATTTTAAAAAAAAAAACTCAGTTGTGCTCCTATAATAATGAATAAAATATTCCAGTGAATTTTAAGTGTATGTGTTGTGTTAGTTTTGAAATAGTTTGAGAAGTTTTTGATTCACTGTGAGTATTTTTTCCGTTTTAAATTGTTTATTTTTTATGACCTTTCGTGTCATATATTATTGAACGATGCCAAAACGACGTAACGTATTTTTTCTTTGATAAAAAGTAGTTCGTGGCCTATTATGGTCGTTTGTACTCCGTTATTTCTCGGATATGGACCGCGTATAGGATGGCAGGCAGGATCTAGACTCGCCCGGAGCTAAGCTGAGACCTAAGAGTACGGTATTGTACTGAATTATCTAGTTTGTTCAAATGTCACGGATATTGCGTCGTGACTTTCTTGAAGTTATCGCAGAACTCCATTAATTATTTCAATTATGTTACGGATAAGGTTGGGTTTAATAATTTTCACTGTGCGATTTTATGGTTTGCGAATTTTTTCGTGGTGAGAAACGAATATTTGTGTTTTAGAAGTGAAAATATCGCGTATGTGTGTCGCATAACAAGAAAAAGGACGAAAACAATAATTTTCTTCTGCAAACGTATTTCTATAACTGCACCAATAACTGTGTAGTGAGATGCAGTCTTGCGTTGCAATGTTTATCAACAAGCAGTAAAGATTGGCTGGCATAGTTACATAGGATATATGTAGTAACAAATTTAAAGAGTGAACTACACAGACACGTTAATTTAAGAATCTAATAACTTTTATATTTATACCATGCTAGAGTTACAAGATATAGTTTATTTTCCTTTTAATTATGATAATAAAGTTTAGATATGGATCTATCTGTTTATGGCTAACGTAAGTAACAATGTTCACCTAAGTAAATAACATAGAAGAATAAATAAATTTTTATGTCTTGTTTTCCTCTTAAAAGGGTGTATAAAAATGCTATACGCCTTTTATAAAGTGTATAAGGGCGATAATCGGCCCATTCGTCTCTTAAGATCACGTTTTTTAACGTCGGAAAAACGTTATTTGTTAAAATAATTAATTAAAAATTTTGGACAGGCTCAAAGATGTCGCCACCGCCGAAAGGGAAAGCGCCTACAAAGGGCGCCAAGCAAATCCTAGCTGAGAACAATGCAACAGTAATGTTCTATAGAAATATGTCTCTAGGCGCCACTGCATTCTTTAATATACTGACTTTTGTATTCTTCTATGAACAGATGTCGACTTTAGTTATATGCATGAATGTATTGGTAACAATTATTTATGTAGTTTGCTATCAAATGATGAAGTTTATTAGCAAACCGAAATATACCGCAGATAATGTATTACTCGATCCTGGATTAGATCTGAACATGGAAGGTGGTATGGGAGAACACGTTAAAGATATCGTCATACTGTCTTCCATCACTCATCTTCTCGCTCTAATCTCCAATTACTTCTGGCTCCTTCTGCTCTTGATTCCGTTGAGAGGGTTCTGGTTGGTCTGGGTCAATTTCCTCGGGCCCTGGTTCTTCCAAGAGGCACCAGAAGATGCCGAACATGATGAGAAGAAACGCAAGAAGATGGAAAGAAAAATGAAACGCTATCAGCAATAATTTTTGTTATCTGAGGCTTTGATATGATTTTTTATTACTTTGCAAGTGATTCGTAATTCGTAGGGATTTTTAATACTTTTTGTAGTAATAATAATGTTAGTTTTATTATAACTAAAAATGTTCTTGCATCTATATTACGTAAACAGTTGTTAGTGCGACTTAATTGTGGTCAATTTAAAGTATTTCATTTTACGAAATATTTAGGTATGTTTTTAAAAACATATGTTATCATATTTCAACAGAAATCTTCCCTTTAAGAATGTATTTGTACAGTTTTGTATATTACTCATATTGTTTTAAAATGAATTGTTAAAAACGACTGAGTTAAAATTTACAATTATTTGTTATTTACAGAAAACATTTGTAATTTTGACTGAATCTTATAAAACCCTTAATAAATACCTTGAACATATTGTTTTTTGTAATTCAACCGCAACTTAATTCCTTAAAAGAAGTTTGAAAACTAAAGTTAGAAGTTCCATCGTATTTACTCGAGTTACTGATGTTTTTATTTATTTATTTATTTATTGGAAAGGTACACCAATTGCATGTTCAAAGTTCACAACCAAATTAATATACCGTATACAATGAAAAACAAAAAACAAAAAAGCATCAGGTAACAGTAACATGAGAAAAAATTATTTGCATAAATCTTTTAATTAAAGATATTGGATGAAAACGCGTAAAGTTTAGAGAAATAGGAAGAAAATTGCAAACAACCAATTCGTTCACGTAACGTGAAGTTCACACTTGGCTAGTGGAGCTTTAAAACTGTCTGTCAATCAACTGGCACAGTGTGAACCGGCACCGGTACGTTTCTGGTCGTCGCAATTGTCAGATAGTACTGGCCAAGTGTAAACCGGGCTTTATTTTGGCAAAATATTACATCTGTTGTATGAGTCAAGTTCTACAGAAATATCCATGAACTGGTGACTGCATCTCATCAATGGGTGACGCATTGCGGTTACGAGGTATAAGAGAACATCCAAATAGCTCATTTAGCTGAAGCAATACTGCAACGAATTGGAGGAATTGCTCATTGCATATTAAGATAAATACTAAATTAACTATTAATTGGTTATATTAGTGAAGACTACATATTGGGGAAGGTGTATGTCCAACAGTAATTTCACAGGCTGTTGAGATTGTCAATTGTTTCGCAGCCAATTCAACTGTTTAGTTACACAACTAAAATTTAGTAGTGTGCCCACCTCCATATAAGCTAACAGGATTTAAAGCGCAACTAAACAGTTGTGTGATAGTTTAGTTTCTGGTTTCACGATCTAATCGTACTGCGATCCTATGAAACGCTGCCTATTACTTATTATTTTACTTCTTGAACTCATTGTTTGTTTAAGTAAAGGAAAATACAATAACGAAAAGAATTTTTTAGACTATTCTGACAGTCAGCCCGTGAACATGGCGCATGCAACTGTGCCGAAATATCGGAAACTAAACCAATTCAATCAAAACCCGTATCTTACGAACATTATATTACCACTCTTTGATGAACTACTCTTTGATGGAATTAGTGTTAGTTGTGTTAACTGTATGAATTAAAATAAATAAACATTTAGAATGCGTAATAACTACGTGATTCAGTTGGAAACTGGGAATTGAAGATGACCAATATACCACAAAATAGAGCTTACGTGAGCAGATGAATGTAGCTAACAGAATTAAAAACAATATTCTGTTTATTGTTAATTTTTTTCACTTGTCAGATTTTATCCTTTTATTTCTTATTAGGGTCAGAAACCATAAGCTAGTAAAAACTTATGTTTAGTAAGTACCTTAAATAACAAAAGGAATTGAGATTTCGATGTCAGAATAGTCAGTTACTATAACCGTAAGTTTCCACTGTTTTACAAACGGTATAATAGTTATATTTTTGTGTTACGGCAACGTAAACCAACTGCACAATAATAAATGCAGCTGTACATATGACAATAACATGTAAAATCTGGTCCTTCGTTGTCAGTTGTTGTCTAGATTGAGCCTAGCTTACGTGTCTTAGCTAATCTGTATGCAGTTAGAATGCATATCTTGAACTTGTTTCCCGTTCCGGGTTACGATTGTATCATACAAAGAATTATGCTTATCATGGAAAGAGGTAGGTAGAGTTTATAAATTTTAATTCTCTTACAAAAATAAAAGAGGTCGGACAAGGCCGTTATCCAATACTTGTTACTCGTGATTTCGCCCGCGTGAAATAAAAAAAAAATAATAAAAAATATAGCCAGTAACATATACTGATAGCGTAGAAGTAGCGTAGCATAGAATGTTGAATTTTTGTAAATGGCCCAATAGTTTATGAGTTATTTCAATACAAAAATATAAATCTTTCTTCTTTATAATACTATTATATATTAGTATAGATATAGATTATGTCTAGACTTATTTCTGAATTAAGAAACTTCAATGAACCAAAGAGGTGGAATCTATTAAGGAATAAGTTACTGCTTTTAAACTCCAGGAATAGTACTCTAGCTACTTCTTTATAGTCTTTTGTTCTTTCTCGGGTGGTCTTTTATTGCCCTTGGTTAAGGAGAAATAGAAGAACGTGCGTAAACTGGTGCGTTATTTCTTAGAAAACAATAAGTTTAGCTCGAGTAAACATCGCCCGCTGATCTCATATCGAGGGCGCTAATATTAAAACTTGGCGTTCATCCACGCCGGCTACACGGTACAAGATTTAGGCAATCGTATACAATTTGTGCTACTTGACATCATTTCAAATGTCTTTGTATAAATATTACATCTATACTAATATTACAAAGAGGAAATATTTGAATGTTTAGATTTTTATATGTAAAAAATACTGGCCGATTTCAAAAATTCCATCACCATGAAAAAGGTAATTTATCTGTGAGTAACATAAGCTATACTTTTTAATTTCACGCAGGCGAAGTTGAGAGCAACAGCTAGTAACAAATCATTTCTATCTTCAACATCGACTATACTCCACCGATTGGCTTTAGTAGTCAACCCTGTTAGATTTCTATTTTGCACAGCCCTAAAGTAACTTATATTTAGACCAATTGTAAGACTTATTTTGATATAACTAAGGTCATATTTAAACAGCCTTGCAGGATCTGCAATGTTTTTTCCTTATTATTTCGGCAGAAACCAGTAAGGTCATTTAACGTGATACTCTTTACTTGGAATATATAATGTGTCATGTCTGGTCAGTGTTACCAGTATCAAAATACCCGCAGAATTATGTCAGGGTCCCCCGTAATTGTGATATAAAATGTATTCAAGAAGAATATTAATGGATTTATTTTACTTTGTTTATGTTTTTATTTTTTTGTTATGAAAAGATATTTGCCTTTCAGCTTTGATGGAATAGCTTATTTGAGCTGAAAATATTTTGATTTGTCGAATCGTTAATTCGAAGACAACCCTCAAGATATAGGGTTAGTAGAGAAGAGATTTTCTTGGTAATATTTTAATGTCTCTAGTTATGGCTGTAAAAGTGTGCAAATTTTAAAATAAACTATCTAATTTAGTTTCATGTTATCAAATTCATCGCAAGTTTGTTATATTATGTAAATCTCTTATCTAAACTGCTTTACACGAACAAACAAAACATTAAAACCTTGAGCACGTTCTTTTGTTACGTGGTTCGTTTTATTCTTGAAAATACCGATAAAAGTGCAATGGAGTTTTGTGTTATTTGCGATGTGAATCTTAATATTAAGGATCTGTCCCACCAAATTGTAAATTGTCATAACAATCCAACATGTAAAATATGTGATGGAAATATCGGATTTTGTTACCTTATCTGACAGTGACGTCATTTTTAAGCTATCTGAGCCTCTATTTTGGTGCAACGGGCCCTAACTTATTTTAAACAGTAATAATTTTGATACGTACATATTCGACACATTGGCGTACGGTTGGAATTTTGGTATTTTAAAAAGATATTTAAGAAAAACAAAAGGTAAAACAAGTAGGGGAAGACCAAGATGCAAGATGTTGTTGTTATTTGTTTTATGTTTTTGATATAAAAATACAACAAGATTTGAGAGAAAGACGCGGTGTCGTATCAGATTAAGAGGATAGTATTGAAGAGGGAGGCCTGGAAATTTCTCTAGCGACAAGTTGGCTATATTTTTCAACTAACATCAAGAAATTATAATAATATCACAATTGATATATGTTAGTAACAAGAACGCTAAGAACGAACGCACACCTTTGACTTGTGCGATTGTTTCGCAGCAAATTCAACTGTTTAGTTGCACAACTAAACATCGAATAGTGCTCGCACCTCTATTTAAGTTCATAGGAATCAAAGCGTGACCTAACAGTTGTGCGATAGTTTAGTCGAAGGTGTGCGCGAACTAAATGTTGCCATAAAAGTTAATTTGGTAAATCGCGTGAAGGTCAGCCGTCGAGACGGTTCATGGTAAAAATACATTCGGTGCAAACAAAACCAGTAAAACAAGTTTTAGCATTGTTTGAATTTTACATTTCCGTTCGCACAAAATGTCCCCCGACAAAGAACGTTGTTTAGATAAGAATATGGTTTCAAACAAATTTGCGTTTGGAATATATCAGTTTTAGGAAACATGTTTTAAACCAGATTTAGTATAGGTGTCTAAAATACACAGTGAAGACAATAGGAGAAAATTGCATCCTCTCAGTCCCTTAGTCTTAGAGTTACGTCGTCCGTTTGACCTTCCTAGTCCTTTTAATATCTAAGTATACTTATTACTTAACAATTATATAACTAATATTAATTATTTAAATTATTAGTGGAAGCTGTGTTCCTTTACATGGTGCGCTCGTGAGTTTTTTAGTTAGTTACTATGCCGTATTGAATTATGCAATAGTTTAGCTCAGATGTGAGTGAGAAAAAAGCTAGATAACTGCAATGCAAATACATCTAGACAGGCGGAGAAAGTTGTGATGTAATTTATTTTGTAAGATGTGATATATCCTTACTTTCAAACATTATATTTAGATAAGTCAATTCACAAGAGAAATTATCTATTGGTAGCCTTTTTTAACTTTTCGTATGATTACTGCTTCATATCGATATAAAAGGAAGTCCAATCGAATCGGAAGATGATTATCGATACGTCGATAGTAAATAGGTCAACACTACTGCACTGATGTAACTTCCTGGCTAGCTAGTAGCCCACTTGGCCCAGTCCCAGCCGCCAGGTAACAAATAAACACTATTATACTTGACACGTCATCCACACAATCTTAATTTTAACTCGCCAATTAATAGTGCAATTGTGAATATACTTTTGTACACACACACTAACACATTTTTGAGGGTACTTGAAAAAACGTGAAGGTATGCTTTACTTCCAAAAATTAATTCTTGACTAAA